CACCCCCCGCGTGTCCTCCTAGTGCTGACAGTAGGAAGAGACCCCGAGCACATTGTCCTTGGGCTCTGTTTAGGAAGAAGGTACCGTACGGTCAGAAAACACTCCTCCTCAGGATCCTTTATTTGAGGTGAGCTTTTGACTGTCAACACGGGCAACTCAGGAGCAGAGACTTTTCTGCAGTAGTTGGTTCTTGTCCTTTCTTCACTTGGAAAGCAAACTGCCTTAACCACTTACTGCTGGTGATGTTTCATGTCCATAGCCTAAAGTGATGAAGGAGTGTAAATGGGGCTTTCTCATAGAACAATCGTCAGGGTAATTACCCAAGGCTCTATTCAAAAAAAGGGGCGTATATTTTTTTATGGACACTATATCTGTGTCTGTAGTTACTGTCACAGCGGCATAATGCACCCCAGCTGCTGATGTCTCCTTGCTGGGTAAAAGCCATGGAATGACATGGTAACAATGCTGTGCTCCGGCCCACACCAGGTGCAGGGTCTCACACGGGAGGGTGACATGTGCAATTTACATATTCATTCTGGAAATGTGTTAACTGTCAATGCCATAATGTGCTAAATGCCTAGTACCTCTTTCATCAGTGTAAACCGAAGGGATAATAAATCTGTTAGGATGGGAAGAGAGAAGGGCAGGAAAAACCAGGATCTTATGTGTAAATGTGTTTTATATGACTTTGTTGTCAAAAGATCATTTTTGTAGCAGCATAAAATATTATCTCAGAAACTCCCAAACTCTGGTAAGTGACCAAATATCCAGTATGAGACCAACCTGGGACACCTGTCCTTTTACAAAAGGAATAGGAAAACAGAGCTGCTCTGTGTCATACAGGCCACTATCAGACCACCTTAGCCAGATTCCCCAGTCGTGGGGAATGGTCCTTTACCCAGCTGTGAATGTCCAGCAGTTCCGAGGGTAGGGTCACTAGGGATAGGATAAAGAACACTAATATTGATACCACCTTTCAAAGGAGGGAAGCAAAGAATGCATTAGTGGGTAGAGGAAGGAAAGGGTGAATTAGTGATGGAGAGAAAAGAGAGAGGGAAAAGCCACACAATTCTAATAATACAGTTCCTGTAAAGTTATGGCAAGAAGCCAAATGCCTGAATAATAGAATGATCACTGGCATCCATTCTAAGTAAATTGTCATTCCTGTGCAGTTTACAGTCCCTCCTGGCAGGGAAGACTGAACCCTTGACTCTAACAATGAAGACCAAGGCAGCCAAGTATTAGGAAAGGGGGGGAGTTTAGTTTTCTTTGGCAATATCTGTTGAAAGAAGCACCTATTAAAACAAGGCCGCAACACGTGGCTGAAAGAAGGTGGTGTGCCCGCCTAACATGCTACAGGTATAGGCTGATCTAGTTGAAAGCACTGAGAGCCAAAGTAATCTAGTGTGTGAAGATCCAAACCTCAGCGTTTCATTACTGAGAAAAGCCAAAATTGGAAAATGAGGTGGAGATCTGCAGCAATAATGGATAACAGGCTTCCTGACGGCCTGAGCATCTGGCCACAGGCAGCACTGAAGCCCACAGGCCTCTTCCCCTGGAGCCTGCACCTGTAGGTGCACAGGAAGGGCCCAGTGGGAATGAGCGTCTCTCCCGGCCGGTGCTTCACTCTGTGGCTGAGAGGGAGAGAATGAAGGGCTGGAGCTGGACCAGGAATTCTGGAGGGAAATCCCATCTCATGGAAGCCACAGGAGTGGAGATTACTCTCATAGATGCATCAACTGTAAAATATCAAAAACTGACTTCTTGCTTTTAATTTTCAAACCTGTTCCTCTCTGGATCTACCTTCCCATTTTATTAAATTCTCAAGCCAAAATTTTATAATTTTTATGCCCACCATCTCCCACCACTAGCCCCACGTCTAGACTGTCAGGGAGTCCCAATATTTCCACCTTCAAATAGGCCCACTTTTCTCCATTTTAACTGCCACCACTCAGTGCAGGTGCCTGAACACGATAACAGCGGGTGTGTCAATTAGATACCGCGTCAGCCCGTGAGGAACAGAAGACCATACCAAGCTATCTTAAATAAATGGAGTTTTTCTTGTCACACACACAGTAAAATCCAGAGTCCGGTGTTTGTCAGCACCAGTTCAGTGGTTTAAGGCTGTCAAGCCTGAGTTTCTCTGCAGTTACTTTTCCTAGATGATTGTCTAAGGTGACTGCTATTGCTCCTGCCATCACACACACACACACACACACACACACACACACACACACACACGCACACACACACTGGAATCACATAAGAAAAAGAGGAAAAAAGGAAAACTTTAGAGCAAGAAAGCAAAGCTTGCCCAAAGAGCTCCAGCAGACTTTCACTTATGTCTCACTGCAGAATTATTACATGTGGCCTTGACTATCTTCAAAGAAAATGGGAAATACACTTTTTTGACTGGGCCCTTTGCTCTCCAGAATAAAATTGGAGTTCTCATAGTAAGGAGGAAGGGGAGAACGGCTAATGGGGGCATTTGGCAGTTTCTGCTATACACGTTAGGGTGGGCAAAAGTAGGGTTACAGTTGTGAGTACATGAAACACAGCTCATTCTTGTATTATGCATTTTCCCACACGAACAACTGTAAATTCTACTTTTGCCCACCCCTGTGCTTCCTTCCTTTTCACTTTTACCCCAGTTCAGGCAACTTTTCACACATTATCTGATGTAGTTCAGATCATACACTCCCCACTGAAATTCCTGAGTAGCTTCCCATTTCACGTTAAATAATATTCTCTCTCCCTAACTTAAACTGTCCATGCCTGCTTCTTCCACGTCGGGCTTCCCTGCCTCGCTATGCGTCATCCTTCCTGCTGAGCCCTTCACAGCTGCCTCCCACCTCGGAGCCTTTGCACATCTGTTCCCTCTGCCTGATGTGCTCTTCCCCCCACTCTTTGCAGGCTTGAGCCTTCCTCCTCCTTTAGGCCTTGGCTGAAAGGTCACTCATTTAGAGAGGCCTTTCTGATCCACCCTCTTCTGTGGGTTCGCCATCACTGCATCTTACTGGGTCCCTCGGAACACTTATCAAAGTGTGTAATGATTTAGTGATATGTCTGATTATTTTAACAAGCATCACAAAGGAAATGACATGTTTCTCTTAGTCATCAGTCTATATCAAGTGTCTGGAACATAGAAATGCAACAGATGCTTGGTGCCGAGGGAGGGAATGAGTGAGTAAATTGGAGGGAAGGCAGAAAGGAAGCCTGAAACAGTGAGGTCAGGAGTTTCCAGGAACCTTGAGAAGCAGTTTGGCTTTGGTGTTAGAACTGTCTACAGATAATGAGGTTTCATCTTGCATGTGTAATCAAGCAAATCATAAAAGAAACTTGCTAGCTATGCTTTCATTGGAAATTGCTATACTTTACCAGACACTTGGTAGCAGGCTAGGAGATATGAGGAGAGATGGAGTGGAAGAGTCAACAGAAAAACTCATTTATACATATCCCCAACTGTAACTAACTGCCCAACAACCTTCACATTTCTCATATTCCAATTACTACTTGGGAGATCCCAAGTAGCGCTATAATTTGATTCTGGGAAGTATTTCAGCAGCCAGTGGATACCAACAGAGATTATAAAAATGTTAGCCTATTTCAACAACCTTCACTCCCAGCCATGGAGTGCCTGAGCAGCCCTCCTGTGAGTCCTCGATAGCCAAGGCCCTTCAGGACGACCCGAAGATGGGAGATACCTTAAATGTAAGCCTGAGCTGGAGTGAAGCCCGTGAGGTGGAACAGGAAGATCACGTATCTCACCGAGCAACCTCGGGATGTTTCATTCTCTTCTGTGTGCTTTTATAAAGTTGACTACTCCCCAGATGCAAAGGGGGACCAAATCCTAACATTCATCATAAAAATATTAGCAGTAACCTGGCTAAACTGTACTTAGATGCTCATTTCATCATCCTTTGAATTTTAACTATTTCTCATGTCACATTTGGTGTAGTTACATTTATTTGTCTCAACCATATTTTTTGCTTTCTCCAGCTCGGTTCAGTGTAGTAGGGTGACTTTGGTATCAGTGCACAGAATTGCTGTTAAAATAGTAACTGCTGTGTCCACGGTGGTTGACATGCTTGCT